TAACAATGTATTGAAGAACAGTGAAGATTAGATTAAATTTGATACTATAGATTTAACAGTGTAACCTAATCTCTTGAGTTTAATATTTTATTTTTAACTTCCATTTGTGTCAAAATAAATCAATCTATTTCTATAATAAAATTGTTTAGTTCCAGTGTTTTAGTTAAATTAACAATAAAAATAGGAGCATGTTAAATAGGAGACGACCTGTAGAAATGATTTAAAATAACTCAAATTGGATATATCTTAATACTATAAATTTAACAGTGTTATAGCCATGAGTGATTTAATGAGTATTTTTTGTTATAAAGTATAATTATTACCTACATGTTTTTGTTATAAAGTATAATTATTACCAAAATATAAGCTATAATAATTATAAAAATGAAATTTCTAATTATAATTCTTTTACTATGTAATTATTATAATCACAAATACCAAACAGTTTTCCCAATATATTTTCTGCCTACTGTTTCTGCAAAAAACAATTCTTGACAGTTGTGACTTTTTTGTCATTGCAAAAGTGATACGATCAGATTTTTCATCAACTTCGTTGATGCATTTCTTCGTTGCGGAACATCTTTTGCGTGCTTCACGCGAATTTACGCATCAGGGGCTGGTATCCATTCGTCGATCTTATACAGCAGCCAGACGACTTCCGTTATGTGGAAGAAAAAGAAAGGTGAAAATTAATGATCTTTTTACCCTTAGAGCTCTTTCTCTCACGCTAAGAATCCGACAATGGATGCTTTACACTTGATGACACAAGTCGACACAAGTCTGTCATTCTATCTTAATCATTCTTTAAATATCAAGAAGGATAGAATGACGCTTGTGTCGACTTATGTCGACTTGTGTCATAAAATGAAAACCATTATCTTATCCTTATATAACACATTACGATTTCTTTGGGACATCTCCTATCTTTTTTTCTGTATCTTTAAAATGACGGCGATTTAATTTATTAGGCTTTTTGGAATAAATGGATTTGGGATAATTTTTACAGATAACCATGATACGAACTCACCTAATTGATAACCCCAGAAAACTTGCAGATCAACGAGTAGCGGCACCCTTTTTGTTCTATCCACATTGACCGAGTCAATCGAGCCAGTTCTATTTTTAAATTAACAATGAATTATCAGGAAACCGGCGATTGTTTTGCAATTATTATAACTGTAATTTATAATCATTTTTGTGACAATCATATAAAGTATGGTTAGTCTAAAAATGATTATAAATTATTTTAAGTATTGAAAATACTTTAAACAACAACGTTCTCAATATTCAAAATAAATAATTTCTAATATTAAATTGATTAAGCTATTAAATTGTTTTTGATGATGAAGTGTTTAACACAAAAACGATGGGCGAAATGTTTTTAATCTTACAGGTGAATGGCAATCTAAATAAAAATGAAAATAAAAATAAAAATCTATATGTCAGAAAAATTAAATAACAGTCTGATAATCCAACAATATCTGCCTACGAATTAATAAAGTGAAAAGTAAGCTTATCGCGAGAAGTCTTTAAATAAACATGTTAAACTATAAACGTTGCTTTTTCAGGCTTATTTTAAGATTTATTTCAACTACAAATTCTCTACAGAATTTTTTTTCATATATTTCACATATATATAATAATTCTTAGAATGGTTCTTTCTAAATAAAATGAATAATAAAAAATATAATTGTATCTAAATAAAAAATAAAAAATTACACATGATATAGATTAAAAAATTTTAGCCAACAAAATAATTTTAATTTCCAGACATGACATATCATGTAATCGACCCGTTTTATCATAATTCCTTAAATAGCTTTTACCTACTTGATTTATCAGCTAGAGGAATAAATTCTATTTTTGTACAAACTGTTGGCGATAACAGGGGACGTGCACTTATCATAGTCTATATTTCTATTCCTATTTCTGAGCACAAAATATAATTTCCTGATTAAATTTTAAATTATCTCCTTTTAAATTTGTTGACGCTGTTCGTAGCGGTCTCTCAAAGTACCTACGCAAATATATCTATGCAAATGAAATATTGTTTTTACATGTTATTGATGCAGAATAAATGGGAGAGAGAAGATGCGCGTGCGTATACTTCATAATATGAACGTTAATATATTATGTATTTTGATGTGAGAAATTGACTTTTATATGGCGTTTTTAGAAATCCTGACCTTATTCTCACCTATATGATAATAATCGATGAAACTTAATGTGGCTTGAAATTGCAAGGGTTAAGCAGCCTTAAAAAGGAATAACGCGTATATTCCATTAATTATAGGGTGCAATCCGTTTCATGCATGATGCGCATGATACATCATTTATCCTTGTTCACCGAATGTTAAACAAGGATAAAACTGATGCATTATGTACATCATGCGTGAAACAGAATGTACCTATAGTACGCTATAGTTCGTTGAAGTGACTTATAGAAAAATACATTGTATATCGCAAATGTTAAAAAAAATAGCCAGAAATTTGGATATAAAAATTTATAATTATAAGAATTATTCCAGTTATATACTGTATTTCGATAAAAATACACATCAAAAATATAAATATCCTACAAACTTCGTCACGTCAGCAATAATTTAAATGACTCAGCGATTCATTAATTCTTACGTGCAACTCTCTGCGTAGTTTTTGTTTCTTTAATAGGGTGCATCGATGCACCAGGTGCAGAAACTAAATATAATTCTCTTGATACATTTCCTTATTTAAGGTTGAAAAAACGATGCGCATATTTTGTGACATCAGCCGTGGGCGAGATGTGCACACAACATCGTCGGTGATATCTAGATGAAATAGTTCTTTTGTGTAATTAAGAATTACGTATTTCCGTTACAATCATTTGTTCCCTATTAGATATCAAATAATCCTCTCTTGAGTTAAATAACATTTTGTTATTTCTAACTTCCATATGTCAAAATGCAAATCAATCCATTTCTGTGATTGAATTATTCAGTTTCAAAATAAACAACATCCATATTCACATTATAATAATATCTTATTCAAAGGATATTCTGGAACTTTCTTAGAGTATAAGATGTCCTCTGAAAGTTTTCAAGACAACCTCAGAATGTCATTACTTGGAAATCTCTACTGTACGAATTGATATGTTCGACAAATACAAAAAATCTGTATAATTGGGCTATAAATTTTATTTATCCAAAATTTTCATATTAAAAAATATTTATTCATATATTTATTCGATTCATATATTTATGATTCATATATTTATGCGTTTTTAAAAATATTTTATTCATGAATATTTTACGAGTATTCTTATTCATTTAAACAAAATGTAAACTAAACAATCTTTTCTCTTTAACCATAATTAGTGATTTGTAGTAAATATAAAATTCGGATCAGCTTTTGTAATGGAAGGTCATTTATTTTACTGTTTTCATGCTAAATTTTGTTGTACTAGCTTTACTTTCCTTAAAATTTAAATTTGGATATAGGATCATGCTTATCCTACTCTTAGCAAAATCGTCAGAGACTTATCTGGCAGCTTGGTACACGTGTAGAAGAATCTATAATATTTTTCTGTAGAGAACTTAACTATAATTATTTTTAAGCAAATCTAATTGCTTAACTGCTGATACAGTGATATAATTTGTAAAATATTTTGCCTTTCAGCTTGATTACAATTTAGAAAATATTTATGTCTATATTAAATATGTCTATTTAATTTATGTCTGTATTTATGTTCATGTTAAAATATTTTGCTTTCGAGCTTGATTAAAATTTAGAAAACATGTCTATTTTAATCAAGCTAGAAGGCAAAATATTTTACGAATTTTATCAGAGTATCAGCAGTTAAGCAATTACTTGCTTATAAGTAATTGGTCAAAAATTACGATTATACCGAGAAGAAAAATGAAAGCTATATATACACTAATTATAATTATATCAAGGAGAAAATTAAAGCTATTTCGTCGATACTTTTATTATAAGGAGGATGTTAAATAACATAGTTATAGTCACCAGGTGAGAGTAAATGCGAAATAAAAGATATTTATAATCAATAACGCCGCGTAAATGCACTTAGTAAATTTAGTAAGTAATTAACTAAATTTGAGACAAATTTAATACATTTTTAAAATTAAATTGTCTGACTTTAATGTTTTAATTAAATTTTCAACATATTAAGTAAAAGCAGCGGCGACCTATAGAAATGATTAAAAATAATAATAACTCAAATTAGATATACAATTTCGCATTATGAAAATCGCATTTGAAAACGTTTTTCACGAGAAAATAAGGTACGAAGGAAGACGAAGAGAGAGAAGAAGAACATTGTATTTAGTGCAATGCGGTGCTGAACATAGTAGTAAACAATTAGTCGCAATATACGTTCACGGACGAGACAAGTGTACGAGCAAGTGCATCGAACTGCGATGCGACTCAATGCGATGTAAGTAACGCAACAAGGCGACGAGCCGATGACGATCAGCCGAGCGTCTCGCGGTCGGCGCCGTGTCTGCGGAAGAAACGCGGCGTGAAAGCCAAGACGTATAATATGAAGTGATAAAAGTCATCGAGGAGAGTCCCTCGAGCCATTAAGGTCTTACGTAAAATAACAACAACAATCGTCGCGACGTAATGCGACGGCACGTGCGTGCCAAATACGATGGCTCAATAATTTCCTCACGATCAGCTGAGGTTACGCGATCCGGATAGTCTTGCAATGAAATCGGAAGAATCTGGGAATAAAATTTTATGACGTTTATCACTTATGCGTTATGCGTTTTTTTTTTTGCAATTTATGTACTTATAGATTCTATAACGTAATATACGTTATACTAATAATAGTTAATGACGCAGTTACAATGACGTGTTGCGCGTGTATTGTTTATTACGCCCCCACCCTTCAAGAAGAGTACGACAAATTGCTATGAATAATGCATCCATTAAATATCATCATACGAAGGGGGTTCATAATCGATGGGACACCCTACGGAGGGATCAGTGGCGATAAAGACATGGATAGTGATAGTCCGCCGTTAGCATCCGCTCTCAAGAAGAGAAATAGTCCTCCAATCTGCTGGAGCCTCGGCCTTAACAAGGACACTTTCAAGACTGTCAAAGTGATCTTACTGGGCCAACCAGGCGTCGGCAAATCAGGTGAGTAACTGAGTAATCGATAACAGTTTCTTCAATGGATAACGTAAAATATATATATATATATATACACACACACACACATACACACACACACACACACACACACACACAAAGCAACTGAAATTATTAATGATTCATTCTTTCAATCAATGAAAGTTTACATAATAAATAAATAAACATAAATTGTTTTATTAAACTTTGCGAAGAAGATATTCCTAAAGCCAAGAAGATAGTAATAAGCAAAATGTGTGCAATTTGAATTATTATTATTATTATTATTATTTTATTTTCTACACTGTTAAATTCATCATGTGAAATTATACCAAAAAATGGAGTTATTTTTAATCGTGATAAAGGAGGTCGCCATTGCTCCTACTCAATTTAATTGCTATTAATTTAACTAACAAAGAAATCATCGGAAAGTTTTACATGGATTTTGGATATGTAGAGTATCAGATGATATTAAACCTATATTTTTTTATCAGCGTGTCTCAAAGTTTAGGGGTTGAAACATTCTCTTTCGAAAAAAAAAAGGATTTATCATTTTCAGCAAATATCTTTAAAACTATATAAAATTTTTATGATATTTTATGTTTTATATAATGATGTATTCATTTTTTTAATATAAATTTTTTTAACTTTTCCCCATTCTCATTTGCAAAATTAAAAAAAAATTTTTTTAAGTAAATTTTTAAGTAAATTTTCCCAACCTTAGTGCAATCTCAGTGTTTACGTATCATTATATTCATAAAAAATTACAACAATCAAATTGGCATTATTATAATATATACACTGAGAAAAAAATATAGTTAATTTTAATAAATATTTAGTTCAATACTGCCAACTGAATTTTCCTTACAGTAAGTAAATATTTGTTCAATACGAAAAATGATATATTTTTATATTTAATATTTAGTTGACAGTATTCAACTAAATATTTATTAAAATTGACTATATTTTTTTCAATATATGTATATATGCAATTATCAAATTGTTATTATAAAAAACTCTTCCATGTTCTTTTTTACGCTAGACATTCATGTCATATGAAGATGCATCTTTGAGTATTTATGCAACCATTTCTATATTTAACATGCAACATAATTTCTATAGATCGCTACTCTTATATCAACAAGTTAATTTAACTAAAACAATGTATTAAATTTGACAGTTTAGTTTATTATTTACTAATTATTTACTAATATATCTTATTTTTACTTTGATTCTGGTATCAGCTTTAGCCGTGCGATTCGCCACAAAACGCTTCATAGGCGAATACGATTGCACCACGGACAGAATCTATCGAGTCGACAATCATCTGGGATCTTCGTGGGAAATAGCGGATCCTTCCGGAAATCCACCTGCCTCCGTCGAGTCGAAATTACGATGGGCCGACGTGATAGTTATCGTTTATTCGGTAACGGACCGAGTCAGCTTCGATGAAACTTCTCGCCTAAGGTATGTTGCTTTTTCTTTCCCTACATATTTTATTAGGAAAAAGTAAAATGCGAAATAATTGCATTTTATGGTGTTAAATTGCGCGTTCAAATGCGCGAAGTGTATACACGTTATATGTACTTTCAGGTTTTTGGTATCACACGCGAGAAGAGGCAGAAAGGTGCCACCGATCGTGCTGCTTGTGGGAAACAAGGCCGATCTCTCCTGCTCTCCGGGTGAACGCGTGGTATCTGCCCTAGAAGGCCAGAAAAGGGCAAAAGAAATCGAGGCTCACGCTTTCCACGAGATTTCCGTAAGGGAATCGGTTGATCAGGTAATGATCTGCGTATATACATATTCGATCGATTCGACATCGTGTAAAACGTAAAATAAAAGAAATAGTCTCTATTAACGTTTTAGATTGAACCCTCTAAGAATACATATAAAATTAAGAGTAACGACAAGAAAATAAAAAAAAATAAAATTACAAAAATATATGAGAAAAATAAAGTAAACAATAAAGTAAACGGTAGTACGAAGAATATAAAGAATAAAGTAGAGAAATCTTTTAAAAGTTAAAAATAACAAATTATTTAATTTAAGGGATTGAGTTATATTGTTTTTCTAATATTCAACAATGTTGAAAAAAATACTAAGTATTGAACTCGTGAAAAAACTATTGGAAATAATAATATATTATTCACAAATATTGTACATTACTCGTTCTAAAAATTCATTAACTAATCCTACAGTATTTTTTTTATAAAAGAAAAAAATTAAAAAGATAAAAATTAATTAATTTTTTATTAAATCTGAAAAGAACGATTCAGCTTAAATTCTTGCTTCGAAAAAAATCAATAGGCTATAAATGAACACAGAACAAATATCCGATGCAGTTAACATATCAACTAATCGTAAACGAAGATTATTATTCTAAACGATTGTTTACTCTGTGTGTCATGGCGTTTGCGCGTGATCGCGGGACCACAAACAAATCTATATCGCTCGGTCTCAAGGCATACGATACGAACAACAGCATTTTAGTGTTTTTATCTACGCATTGTAATGACGATCGTGGTAGGAGATCGACGCATTTCAGTATTTTGCGATAATCAAGTATTGGAATGATAAAAATTATTTATACAAAGTTTTTGGGAACAATTAAAAATAAAATATTGTTTTTTGTTCTAAACAGATTCTCATAAAATTTTATTTGAAATTTAATAAAAATTTTAAGTAATAAAATTATGAAATATATTATATAAAGTTAATTCTCTCTGATTTTTTAATACGAATATAAAATGAAGTATCTAAGATACAATAAGATTAGAAACAAAACCGTTTATATCTAAAATATAATTCTTTTGTAATTTTAATAAAATATTAATATTAATTTTCTATTAATAGGTTTAATAATAATTTCATTAATGTAATTCACGTTTGTTTAATATATAAAAATTACGTTGCAAGTTTGCAAAGAAATAAGATTCACATTAGAGTATTTTATAATCTTGTTTGCGGATGAAAAAAATGCTTAAAAAATGCTTAAAAAATAGCGAGGAGATGAGAAATATACAGTAATTGATTTTGTATGTATCATAATCACGCAACATATACAAAGCAAAAAGAAATAGAAACGTGGGAGTGATAACGTTCATGTTATTAAAAGATATATTTCTCTTTTAAATGATAATATCGAATCTTTATGTAACGGTGGCCATGACAATTCACGATTATTTTTCATTTGACAGGTCACGGCCGTATTCATGAATATATTAAGATTGCTGACCGAATTACACAGCAGTCATCAGACATCTTTTAGACTGAGAGCCTCCACAGACGGAACCATAAATACTCTCCGTCGACCGTCACCTCCTCCATTAAGAAGAAGATTTAGCATTTCTGCTCGCGGAAATTTATTGTAATCGTTAAATTAAATCCAAGACTAAATAATAATTTTATTCTACTAAACATCGAGAGAGAACACTGTACAAAAAGATTATATTTTAACTGTTTAATAAATATTTGTAAAAAAAGTTACTGGTATGCACGAATTCACAACAATATTTCATACTTTCATCTTTATCAATAATACAGACAATGCCAGCAGTCCTAAAATATCTGTTTAAAAAAAAATGTAATTGTAATCGTAATGTAATTGCGAAATTGGTAATTATATTGAGTATAAGAACTAACCTGAAGATATATTTCCTTTATAAAAATTTAATATCGTAGCTCAATTTCGTAGCCTATATGAAACTTGTAATTTTTCTTACTTAATCTTAGTACATGTAACTCTCTAATTACTTATTCTAAATTTGATATCTTTATTCGATTCTTATCTATTAATCTAGCAACTCTATTTAATAACGAGAGTTCTGTATTTTATTTAATTTAATAAAAATTTGATACTTGAAGGTAATGATTGATTACTAGTATTCAGTGCTTTTAATATTCGAAATAAATAATTAAGCATTATCTTTCACTATTAAATTGGCCAGCAATAAATTGAACTTCTGCAAGGATCTTTCTAGCCATGTCTTATCGCAAGTGCAAGGGCTTTCGGATTTTCATCCTGTATCGCCGTTCTACAACGAGTTACTGCATTGGAAGCAGCTTTTCCAACTGCAAGAATAAATATAATTAAGAAATAGAAAGAGTAATGATCATGCGATAAAGACATTACCTCTGAGTCTTGCTGCACGCTGCACTCCAATGTTCAATTCTTTTAAACTAGCCGCGAGTTCTCGATGACTGTTCAGTCGAATCTCGTGCTCTCGAATTAAATCGCCATTGATGTTTTTTAATTGCATCAGTCTCTTTCGCATATCGTTAATATTCTCGAGAATTCTAGCATCTTCTAAACGAATCACAATACTCTTCAAAAGATTGGCACCACCTGCAGCTTCCGCTTGGAGTCGCGCATCAACCTCCTTCAAGCCTGAAAAATATCGATGTATATGTATCAAAACGGTTTTTACAATAGCAAAAGCTCGAAAGATTGAAAAAATAATCGTTCAAAAAAGAATTGATTGGCGGTGGAGATCATCCTGATGAAAGTTTTTTTATAACATTTCTAAGAATTTGTCATATTTTAAATTTAGAAAATTTCTAAAAAAAATACCTTAATTCGTTTTAATTCATATAAAAAAATGAGACATTTTCTAAAAAGTTATAAAATTACAAAAGTTAGTTACAAAAATTTTAAAATTTATATAATAAAAATTATATGAAGAATTCTAAGAAATATTTTCATCAGGATGCAGTTCACATTTCTATCACTTCTTTCTTAATGGTGTACCCTTGACACGCTCCAACGCGTCTAATATTCTCTTCTCTTCCGTAGGAAACGTGGCTTCTGAAGTTAGATCTCTGACGCCTAAATACATAGTCAGAGATTGAATAATGTCGCCAGCGAACGTTGGATCATCCGTCTGAATTATCACTTTTCCACTGGCGTTCGATTTAAAACAATGCACTTTGTTGTCCCGCATCCCACGAAGCCACACTTCGATGCATCCGGCATTCGGACCACCTTCTGCAACCTCTAGTTCCTCTCCCATGATGATACTCTGATTCAGCCAGATAGCGATTCGCTGCGGTCTCTCCGCGATCTACAAAATTGGATTACGCATTGTTTCATCTTTAACGTTAAGAACTTTTAGAAGTTAAAATCAAAACTCAACAATGTTTAAATGTTCACTCACATCCATCTCAACACCATTACTCGACAATTCTTCCGGAACAAGTTGCGGTTTCGGAATACGCTCGTACATACAAAATCTTGGCAACTGTCGTGTTATTTCAAAGACCTATCAAACTTAAAATTGTTACAGTCTGAAATTTACATGATTTACCTGATGAAATTTTTTTTAGATTTTTTAATATAAGTTTTCAGAATTTTTCAGAATTTCTGTATGAATTTTATAACTTTTTAAAAAATGTCGGAAATGCTAAAAAGATTTACATCTTTTCTAGAATTTTTTATACATATACATTTTGAAATATACTTAAAGTTTTCTAAAATCTCTTATTCTATATTTTCTAAAGATAATTTATAAAATCTAAGAAAAAGTATCAAATATTTTTTCAAAAATTTACCCCTCAAAAATTTTAAATATATAACAAAATATATAATTCTTAAAAATATTATGAGATAATATGAGAAATATTTTCACTAGAGTTATATTGCAACAATTATCGAAGACCTGTAATAGATCGGTACCGGGAGGTCCAACATAAACCTTAACGTGAATATCTACGGGATCATTCTTGGCAGGATAAAGTGCGATCTCTAACTCCCCTTGCGGCCGATTGGGATGCGTGACCAGTGTTTCGCCCTCAAAAACACCTTCGGCAAAGACTATGGCGCAATATACCTAAATATTATTTTACGTTTACAATATCTCGCGAATTTAATTAATGGATATTTCATTTTTGAGGAAAATTTATTTCTATTTATTTTAAAATTGAAGAAATCAAAGAATCTGTGATACAAAGGAACTCGAGTTTCCAATAAATATCAATCAATTAATAGTAATCTAATTATCAATATTATAATTTCACATTCAACAATGTAACTATTACAATTATTACTATTATTACTATTATGTATTATTTATTTATATTGTATTTATATTGTTAAGTGTACAATTATAACATTGATATTATATTAGTTAGAATTCAGAGATGCGTCCTGTACATATGTAGCATATTACCAGAAGCCCAGGTCCAGCTGCAAGCGCGACGCGAGCTGCGCCCTTTTTTGTTAATAGGCTAATGGCTAATCTCGATCCATAATACATACTAGAACCCGTTGCAGCCCTCTGTCGCAATTCCATCTGAAGTGCCTGCTTCTTGGCTAATAGTTCACGAATTATCTCGCCGGGTTCCGGAGCTTGCATGGCAGAGCCAGCACTGTATCCACGTACTACAAAAACGTGAGAGCCAAATAAAAATATTGCAGCAAGAATCATAGCTATTTAGTAGAAAAAACGAGTTTCAAGCCATTGGTAGAAACTACCTTCGCCATTGGTAGAAACTACCACGAGATCGGGTTTACCCGTTCTTCGATAATCAGCTTCTACTATGCCTGCCACGCTGGATGATAGCTGAATCTTGAATATGACCTCACCAGTATTGTACGTCCTCGCATCTACTTTTCCACTGCTCCAACCAGTGATCAGCTCCAATACATTATCTCCGTTTATGTCGAAAGTGTTTACAGATATTACTTTATGCTTTGACTGAAATAAATTCAGATTAAATAAATAAAGAAGGACCAAGGTCGAAGCTAGATCTTAGCATCATAATATTTTATGTAAATATTATTATATACAAATATAATTATTTTATGTAATTATATAAATTTTTTAAAAGCATCTTTCAGTTATATAAATTGCTATGTGATGTATACCAATCACTGTCAGATAATTTGAAATGCAATTACAAACTGAAGCTGAAGTAATAATATATATACAATTTTCAAGTTAAAATCCTGGTTAGGATAATATTTTTCGCAATAAGTTCTTTGCAAATTAACATTATTATTAACTTAACGATCAATTTAATTTGTAATATCTATATGTATTATTATTTCAACTTCTCTTTAAATTCATGATTTCAAGTCCGACAATAATCGATCAATAGTTAAAAAAAAAAATGTTTCTAAAATTTACATATAAAATATTATTTAGTCCTAATTGTATAAGATCTAGCCTTTACTTATTTAATTTTTCATAGTTTAGTTAATATATTATTCAATCAGATTGTTTAATGCAATGGCTGTATTCAGCAGAGAAAACAGCTTTGTTATAAAATTGTTATAAAATTCTTCAATACAATTGGTTCTTGTTTTTAAATTCCTTATGGATCTAAATCAATCATATTGAAGAATTTTACAACAGTTGCAAAGCTGCTTTCTCTGCTGAACGCAGCCATTGTTAAAATTTCTCCTGTATTTAAGCATTTTACTTTAACTCGCCACAGTCTTTGCCCTGCTTCATAGACACCAATTGTTCCATTTTCCAGAGCATAAGCAAACTGCCTGTTCGGAAGATCAGTGAAAACAACAATCGCTGCTGTTTCCTTAGTTTCCCAAAGTATAGTATCTTTCTTCTGCACTCTAATTTCAAAATCTGTTGTACCTGTCAGTAACTAAAAAAATAAGGTAATTTGGAAAAAACAATTTTGTCTACTTCTATCAATATAGAATTTTAATTTCGATTTAATTTATCTTTTTCTAATTTTTAGAACTAAAAAGATAAAAAAAAGATAAAAAAATGAATTACTTTACATTGGTTTAATTGCTTCAAGATTTTAGATTCAATAGCAATCCAGATTTTAAATAAGAAAAAAAAAACGTGAAAAATTAACGTTAAATTATTAAGAATCGCTCCATACTTACTTCATTTTCTCCATCTCCATCAAAATCAAACGCTATTAGTGAAGTAACAATACCTCCCATTACAATCCAAAATATTTCCGTTCCATGTGCATCTAAGATGGTTACTGAACAATTGCCACCTATTACTACAACATGGTTCGGCAACCACCCAACTTTTGCGACAAGCATACAATTTGCACCATCCGACATCTGAAGTAATTAGTATAGTAATCGTAAGCTAGATCCTGCTTACTTAACTCGAAATTATATACTCAATACCTCCTTATAGAAAACATCAGCATTGTCTTCGACATGATAAGCAAGCACGTGAGAAATAGTACCGACCAAAAGAATATCCCTTTCGTCTTCTCCAAGACGACCAGTGCACAATGACTTTACCTAGATAATATGGATTTTTGTACAAGGAAGGCACGAAATAAAAACATAGAATAGTGCAAAATTTTATTTATATGTGAAGCAATTTGTATATAACATTCTGATTTCAACACATTCGAACCTCGGTGCCAATTTGAAGCTCCG